TTTTTCTCATTTAAAATTCATCCTAAGTCCCTAGTTGAGGGGAGGATTTTTTTTTTTAAAATAAAAATTTAAAAGTATTATGAGTGTAGAAGAGTTAAAAAATTATACATGGTAACAGAAATAGAGGAGCCCTCAATAATAGACACAATGAAGATAATGTATTAGGTCCACATGAAAGTTACAAGCCACTACAAGCACATATATATACATTTGAGTAAAGGCTATGTCCCTATAGGAATAGATAATTCGGTAGAATATCCTCTGACTTCGATACTCATTCATTCCAAATGCTAGTAAAGATTCTTCTCTAAGTGGTTGAAATTTTTGAACTCTGCAAATAACAAGTTATGAAATTTAAGATACTGTAATTTCACCACAATCAATCCATAAACTAACAAGTTTAAAAAGCTTAATGCAAGACCATAAGCTTATGCATATTTGTTACTATAAGCATTGTGTAACAGACAATGGGAAGGGTATGCAGAAAATGATAGACAAGGCTTAAACAACCAACTCCAAGGACAACCCTCTCAAAATTTTTTTGGAGTTAGTCATTTTATTGCAACACTTAATAAAGTCATTCCATAATAACACATAACAAAATAGAAGATTGGCCTGCTCGCTTAATTTTCAAATAAAAAGTAAAATATCAACTTTAAAAAATGAAATAATATTAGTTATAAACTTTCTGTCGGTTATTTATTTATTATTTACCATATGAATAGAATCATCTCTGTGTAGAATATATTCTTTATTACTCATCAGAAGATGGTAACAATATATTAAAACCTCAAAACTTACATAAGAAAATACTTTAAAGGAACTTGGAGCTCAAAAAGAAAAAAAGACCTAACTGTCGAACTTTTTCTAAAAAGAGTGTCAAGAAACCTCACTTGGAAGAAAATTCTTATTACTAAATCTTTCTTAAAAGAAACATTAAGAATCATCTAATTAGGCCAAGTGCTAAAAGAAACATTAAGAATCATCTAATTAGGCCAAGTGCTTATGACGACATAAATGAAGTGACTTAGATTTTTTAAGCTTAAATATCTTAAATTCTAAAATTGAGCCCCTGATAGCAAATTAATAAGTAGGCTAACATTCATTTCTAACATGAGTTAAAGCAATATATAAATAAAAAAGAATAAGAAAAGGATATTACAAACTCAATTTATAGAAGTTCACTCATTAGTCTAGTCCTATGCCCTATACTCAAACAAACAATTTGATATTTTTATTATCTCCTTTAATTTCTTTTGTAAAAATGAGTTGATAATATTTCTAACTTACCATACAATGTATTTATCTAATTAAAAACACAAACAAGAGGTTTACCTTATCTTTTATTATAAAACTAAATGGATTACAAAAAATAATTTTAAAGTTTCTCTATATAAGACTAGATAGTCAATAATAAGTAAGTTCTTTAGAGATTTCAAATTGAGTTAAAAAATTGTGTGTATGTTGGCAATCTTATCATGACAAAAAATTAAAAAGAAGTTATTATTGTCTTTATCTATTCGTTAACGAAGAATTTCTTCATTAAAAACTAGGACTTTTAAATTATTTTCTAGGCATAGAGATTGTTTCAACCTTTTTATTGGTCTTTTTCTCTATAAAAAAATGAATTTGTGATGTTCTTAATGTCAACATGTTTAACACTAAATTGTCTCAATATATGCGTTAAACCTGCTCAGCTCCATCAGACGTCCCTCTAATGCCTCATATATCTCCCAGATTTCTTCTCTTTTAGTTTGTTTTTCGAGCAAATTTTCAAGTGGTCTCCTGAAACATCTAATAATGCAGGTTAGGTTAATAATAAGGATGATTTTTACTCTATTTTAACATATATTGTCTATTTAGGTTCTAATCCAATCTCTTGGTCCTTTGACAAGCAGGGCATAGCAGTCATGTCTTCTACCGAAATTAAATACATCTTGTATATTTATTCCTTCATCTAATTACTCCCAGTAACAATATTGGCGTAAACTACATTTTAACATCAATTAAGATGTAAGCTAGTTACTAATTAGTCTCTCAAATCTCAAACAAAAATCATCTTACTAATGTATTAATTAAGCTTCGTCCACGCAACACTAGCAACATTTTTTGTTTAAAAGTTAATATATCTGTCTGTCTAACTTTTTATAAATATATCAGAGGATTTACAACTTTTACATAAGATTAAATTAAAATTGTAAGAACTTCTATTTCTACTCAACTAAATTTAAGTAAAAATAATACTTTTAGACACACATATATTCACACGTACCATTTGAACCAAATCACCTATCTCCCTATATATAGATATGCATCATACACCCCATATATATATATATATATATATAACCAAAACCCATATAATAGAATCAACTTCTCAATTCATCTCAAAATCTTATGTACCATATGAGAAGAAGATAATACAAATTAGCAAGGCATAAGTGGAGCTATATACCAAAATGGAAAGGCAAGATTTCAAGCCATACAACTTACCTTTGACGCACACAAGATCGACCAAATAATTCCCTAATAGACTTGCTAATATAAAGTTAGAAAAAAAAACACGTGCACTTGGAAAAAGTTTACAACTTTTTTTTTATTTGATGACTCGCACTTAACCCAACAGAAAGTACCCGGTTCTTCGTCGGAGTGGTAGAGACCAGAGATTCCACCTTTGGCTTTTGCTTTTAATTGGTGCTCATCCTTTCTTCACATATACATATATAATCAATTATATCTATAGGTTTTTTTTTTTTTTATAATTAATTAATATGTAATTATGTAATTAATTATATTCTTTTAATTAGTACCATTTATGGTGGAGTGGCGGCTGAGATAATTAAAGGGCCTTGCTTAGTGTTGCCTACACTGGAGTTATCAGTAATTAATTTTCACTGTATCCTGGCGTGCTAATTTAATCCAGTTTAATTACTGTTTACTTTAATATTTAACACATTTTATTTCACTCCTAGTTTACAGAAAAGTTGGGGCAACCCAAAGTTTGGATAAGAAAATTTCGACCTATTTCTATCCGAACACTAATGGCTTTTGTTTTATATACTTGAATACAACAGCCTATAGATTCATATATATATATATATGTATGTATGTATGTGTACATACATATATATATATATATATATGTAGACATACACAAAGGTACCCTACTTCAAGCCAAACGTCCCTACCTCGCCTTTCACAACCCCACCACATTACTCTCTGTAAATTACTTTTACAATTTTGACACAATCTCATTATTAGTAGTTTGGCGCAAATATATATATGTATATATATGTATATCACTTCTTTTGAATTACAAAAGCGTATTAATCTTTTAAGTTACTCCAAACTAAAATGATCGATATAGCTTTATATGTATATGTGACAAAAGCCAAAAAAAAAAAAAAAAACCATACCCACCAAAAGTTGTATTATTCAAAAGTTGACTCAAGTCGTCACTGCTATCACACGGAAACTTCTTTCCACACAGAAGTTGGCTGAAGATATATATATATGTATATGTGTATGTATATTTGACGATGTTGGTTTATTTTCTTCTTCTCCAAATTGACCATTAATTCAATGAATCCTCTTCTCTCTTTCCAGTACACAAACTGATTGACAGCAGCCTGCATCATATTCTTCCAAATATTCAATTCAATTCAATTCAATTCAATTCACTTACCATTTTCACTCACTCTCGTCTATACATATATGTGTATATATACGGGAAACTAGTAATAATTACTTACGTGGTTAAAATATATCTTCAAGATTTTCACTACATAAATGCAGCACCTACTTAAGAAAAAAGAAAAAAGAAGAAAGAAAAAAAAAAAAAAATTAACCGACCTCGTACATTTGGGGACCAATTTCCATGATATATAATCTGTACGAAATCTGTGGACCTATTGGCTGCTATGTAGTTATAGCTACTATATGTATACATACACCAATACAAACCAACTGCTACATGTATATGTATATAAATACCCCACACCAGCTCAAGTATGGGTCTGTATATACATGTACATATATGTATATGTATAGGTTCCCACGCACTAAGCTGCAACCCAGTTGGGCAAACCAAAAATTTGCAGAGATATGGGTAAAACCAAAGGTAAGAAAAGGAAGAAGAGAATAATAAGATGCGAAGGACATAAATTAGTTTATATTAATATATATATATATGTATATGTATAGTTTTAAATAGTACTACAACGTGTCTAAATCTCATAGGCAATTTCATACTGGACCATTCAAGTTTTTTCTTTTTATTTTCTTTCAACCCTTTCAATAATACAACTTGCACTTGTAAGATTTGTATCCATCTACATATAATTATTTAATTAGCTAGACAGGCTCCACATGCATGTCTGCATACAAAATTTTATCTTGTTAATTAAAAAGACTATTTTTTATTTAATATACTCAAACCTGTTTTTGTGGTCTAACGATTCTGATCAGTAAACCTATTGGTTTTCAGTTTCAGTTTCATATATATATATATATATATGTATACGTACATATATGATTGCCCTCTTGAAAGAGACTCTTTTAAAATAGGTTAAAATGGAGACAGGAACTTTTACCCTCATTGCTGATCATTTAGGTCTAGCCGTAGGTTTCTGTTTAGTCTATCTATACACCACAACACATACATGTATATGTTTTTATATATATATAATATGAAGGGTACTTAAGAAGGCGCCAAGAAATTTAATTTTGTTGGTCAAAATTGGAGAAGAAAAAGTTAAACCTACAAGTAAGTTAATTATAGAATCAAGGTATACGGGTACTGTTTATAGTTACTGTTTATGGTTACTATATCTATACCCTTTTCTGCTAATAAGATTATAATGGTGATAAAATGGAATTTGTGGTCCTCACTTTTCATTCTTTTCTTTTTCCTCTACCTTTTCTTTTATTCACCTTCTTATCTCTGTTTTTTCTTTTTTAATTTTTAATTTTTTTTTTTTTGCTTTGTTTTTGTCCTGTATATATTCATCTCCATCTTCTTGTCTGCCCCATCTTTCTTCCTCTTCCTCTTTTTTCTACACTTACCTTCTCTTGAAAATGGGAACAAGCAGAGCTGAAGGAAAAAGGAGCTTGAAGGAGATAGAGGAGGATGAGGAAGAAGAAGAAGATGATGACTGTACAGGTGGATTAGGGTTTGAGGAGGAGGAGAAGAAGAAGAAGAAAGGAAGGAGAGGATCCAGTGCTGCTGAAGCTGCAGGAGCTTCAATGCTCCCTTGCTGTCAAGCAGATCATTGTACGGTCGATATGGGTGATGCTAAGCGCTACTATAAACGCCATAAAGTCTGCGAGTATCATGCTAAAGCTTCTTTTGTTCTAGTTAATGGAGTCCAACAACGCTTTTGCCAGCAATGTAGCAGGTCTGAAAACCCTAATTCTCCATGCTTTTCTTAATGCCCTTCATCAATCTTTACTTTCTGTTTCATATTGCAACCTTGATTAGATCATCATCTTTTTCCTTAATCTTCTCTCATAAAGAAATTGATGGGCAATTGACCAAATCATTTCTAGAGTTGATCTGCTATTGTGCATTTGATCCAAGTACATATAAATTACTTCGATTGCCTTTAGTTTCTTTTCAAGAATTTCTTGGTAATTTCTAATTCTAAGCTTGGTAGAAGTCCTGACATAATTAGAACTTCACAATACGATTTGTTACTAGAATTTAAATTGATTGGACTGTGTCTGGAATAAATCCAAATTTTTTGAAATAAAATTTATCCTTAGTTGAATTACATAATTGTGAAATTCATTTAAAAATGATAAAACAATTGAAAAAAAAAAAGTATGAAAATCTACGACTTGGAAATGAAGCGCTAAGTTTCATCAATTTCGGTAATATATAGAATGTGTAATCCTACATAGCATTTTTAATTTGTAATATTTTTTAGTTAAACTAAATGAATATCTATAAATAAATTTCTTTATATTTGTTCCAAGTATAGTCTAAAGTCAATTTTTGTCTTTCAAAGTTAGGTTGAACTTTCTGTCATTTGTAGGGTAATAGTAATTCGAATTCGATAAACTATGTCCTAAAAAGAACATCGGATTAATATGAAAAGTAAAACTAGAAATTGATCTAAGAGTTTAACGAGAAATTAGCATTAGTATATGATGAATTCTACGAGATAGATTAATCACGATCAATTCTTAATTGAGAAGAAGTTTGACATTATGGGAAGAGATCTATAGGACAAGAAGTGATTATCAACTATGAACTTAACAGATAATGTGTCAGTTTATTTAAGTTGACTTCATTTACATTATATAGAGATTAGATGTACTACTTGTATAGATTAGTGACTACACACAGACACAAATATATGTATATTCATCAATATTTAATCATTCATAAGACTTCTTTTGGTAGGAGAATTAACACTTTGATGAATATCATCTATTTATAAATCTATAATGATCCTAAAAGTTGATTTCAACTACTTTTGGAGTTATAGATGTTGAGTTGAGTTAGAGCTGAGATTTGGGTTGAGTTTATTTTTAAGATTCATTAAATTAAAAAACAGTTTCGAGATGATGGATGTTCGTATTTTCTTTTAAATGAAAAATAAGCAGTAGTGCATGAGCTTTACATGAAAATGAAAAAGTAGTGAGATACAAATCATATTCATGAGGTTTTGATGATGATCTGAAGTTGAAAATTGTGAAAAAACTATCTTGGGGAGGATTTAATGTAAGGCTGGAAGCTGATCAAGAACTCCACTCCGCTAATATAATATAACATTATAGTGAAATATATACCGTAAAGATTTGAACCAATTATCTTTTCAAATATTTAACTTAGTAAAAAATAATTTATGTGCTTTCTTTATATTGTATCTTAATATCTTATTTTACGCAGATATTTACTTATATGTCAAGTTCTGATACGATATAAAATGATAACTGTTAATTTATATTGTTTTAGGTGGGATCGAAAATTCTTTCAATGGTGTTGATCATTTCCTTTTAGAAATGTTTGATCAATATTTAGCAGCTTAGGTGCAAGATAAGTTGATTTCATGTCTGATCGGCGTATAACATTGTAACGAACTTGTGCTTTAGAATAGATTCGGTTTAAATCTTATTTAAGAGTATGATTCATATATAATATAAATGTATTAAAAATAATAATTTGAAAATTTTAACATGTTTAGACTTTTTGTCTTAGTAAGGAGCCAAGTTAAATATAGGTTATGAATATGATAATTAATGTATCTTTTTAAGTCTTTTTAGATAATTCATGTACTAGGCTTAATTATGTTCCACGAACTAGACTTAATTATAGTTTTTATGTATTTGATATTCTAAAAGTCGTATTAGTATCTATATATACTCATTACCTGAAGATTTGTTCTGACTATCACAAATTAAAAATTGAGTCTTTTTGTTAGCTTATCATTTTTATTCATCCCATTTTCAACTAGATGTTACCTAAAATTAATATATCTCGTAAAATTTTTTTCAATAAAATTAAGTCCTAATAAAATAAGATAATCACTAACTGTTGATACTATTATTTGTGTTCTAATGATACGAAAATTTAACAATCAACTAATAAGTTTGCTCCAAAACTCATTTGTTTACCAAAATAACGATGCATTGTTGCAGATTCCACGAGGTATCAGAGTTCGATGACACTAAAAGGAGCTGCAGGAGGCGTTTGGCTGGACACAACGAAAGGCGCCGGAAGAGCTCAACGGATTATATCGGGGATGGCTCGAACTGAAACACAAAAAGAGTTGATTAAAAAACGAGCCCCTAAAGGAAAGGGAGAAATGAGAAAAATGTCTTCTTTAAAATGCGGTTAAAGATCCTACTATTATCACCTTTTTTCTTTCTCTTTTCCAAGCTTGCTCTCTGTCTTCTGTCAAATCTTTTATCTTTGATTAAATTATATGCTTTATTTGGGGACATTGTTGGCTGCTTGTTAATTTGGTTTTCTCTGCTGTATTTTCAACTTTTTAATTATCCAGATTAAGCAGTTGTTGTCTTCAATGGCAGTAATTGCTGATTTATATTCTGAATAAAATGATCAGCACAGTAATCTCCATAAAAAGAAGTTGCGAGTAGGTTAAAATTTTTTTAATCTCCGCTCTTATATCCCACTTGGGTTTTGGTAACTTTCATTGATATATGTGTTCATGCACATAGGCTTCTTGATCTCATAATACATACATATATATGTGGGTGTGTGTGTGTTTATGGGTGGTGGGGTGGAAATACAGTATTTAGGCAATATGTACAGTAATAAGCATCTTGAGTTAGCAAATTAAGTAAATTTTTTATCAAAAAGTATTGATGTTAATCTTTTTGAGAAGTGAAAAATCAATGTCATATCTAACAACACATCATAATCATATCTAAACATAATCGAACTTCTATTTTAGAGTACTAGAATAGAATAATGTACAATAAAAGAAAGGAAAATCATAGTGGACCTCATTTTCAACAGATAACAAAATTTTTTAAGATATGATGCTGCTAATTGGTGTCAAACCGAATGCGGTGTCTGCCAACTTGCTCGAATGGGACCGGTGGGGTCAAGTTGGTCACCAAGTTGAGTTAATTTAGTTCAATATCGTGAAGAAGAAAATAATATTTGAGTTAATTGGGTAGGTTTGAATCTACCCGACTGTTGTTAAGATCTAATTTGATTTATTAATAAAAAAAAAAATTTAATTTTTATCAACAAAATAAATAAAATATAATAACATTGTCAACAAAGTTAATAATAAAATTTTCTAAAACTAATAAAATAATGATAAGAACTAAAATTTTTTGTAAAATAATTAAAATTTTAATTAAAAACTATGACAAAAGGGCCAATTCGAGATTGGCCGAAAGGGGTTTGTTAGACCAACCAAGGGCTTGGTCTACTATCAACTCATGAGTCAAACTTAATAATAAATTTATATTTCTTGAGTTTTGACCTGTATTAAATTTATAGATAAAATTGACTAATTTATTGTTAAATTATTTTATAAATATGATGTTAATTATTAATATCTTATTCAATGCAGATAAAGGAAATAGAAAATAGATTTTTTAGGAAAGTAAACTAATCTTGTTAAGATAATAACAAATCACCAAGAAGCAAGTTTATAATAAAAATTCCATGTAATACAACACAAAATTAAAGCAAGAATATACCAACAAAATAGACAAAGACGCTAATAGTCTAAAATAAAGGTACAACATATGAGCAGGTATCTCGAATCACCCAACATAGGCTAAATGATTGGTGTTCCATAACACTAAGATAGCAACAATATATCCCGTAAAATGATCAACAGTGATATATTCGTAAAGAGTGGTTAATATTCTAGATTAAGCATTACAAAATGTGATGACTCATGATTGCTATCACAATAACAATAAACAAGAAAAACATAGGGTAGCTGAGCAAGTGAACTAAGCACCAAGAACTAGTCAAAATTGTTACAACATCTGTAAAGTCCCGAAATTTAAAAGGAAATAATGTCATAAATTAAATGTAGAAGCGAAATAATAAATTTTAAGGTCTATATTCCTTACACAATAATTTAGAATACCCAATAAGATTATGAAAATGTCTCTTCTAAAAGAATGAACGAAAATCAAAGAAATAAGCAAATGATGACCTTCACTAGCTTTTGAAGGGAGTTTAGGTGGTGAACTATTCACAACCTCTTGTTGATCGAGATTTGGGTCTTGATCCTCTTGATCTGAAATAGTTAATGAAAAGATAAGGTACACTAACCTAGTAAAAATATCACACTACTCACTGATACAAAAACTGAAGGTTGGTAAAAATCATAAAAACAACCAATAGAGCTCTTGATTTAAGTAAATTCATTTATCATAAGGAAAATCATTTATTGCATATATTTACCGTTTTGATATTTTCAAAATCGACCTATAGAGACAATAACTCAAATAACATTCTAACCTCATATTCAAGTGAGTAAAAACAACAATTTTTCATTTTTATTTGCCTACTGGTATCCCTGAAGATCCATAGAGATGTCCCACTACGCGTGAACCAATATCCAACATTGTCAACTAACTGGCCGTCCCCATACCCTATCTGGTATGAGCGCCAAAACTACCATCTCTCAATACCTCGTCCAATATGAGGGTGAATCGAGCTGTCCCCATACCCTGTTCGATATGAGCGCCAAAAATACCATTTCTGGATACCCCGTCCGGTATGAGGCAACGTTTACGATAGAGTTCCTTATGTACCCAATTCGTCCTTCATCTCGTAGGATATCCAGTAATACTACCATTCATTAATTCACATAACCAAGCAATTTTTCGTTTGCATATTAATTTTTAATTTCATAAATTAACTGTAAATCATGTAAGACAATTAATAAATATACATCAAGAAAGCACAACTGAATCATTTAACTATTTTAGTATATTCTCATATGTTTGAAGCTGTAAAAGTTAACAATCAGTTACACATGACAAATAAATAAATAACTAAGCAGTTTCGGCTTCATTAGTAACATGAAATTATTCTCAAAGTTTTTTAAATTACACAAATATCATATTATCGATTATTAAGCTTTAATTCTATAACAGAGAATAAGGTGATGGATTTTTACCCGAATCGGTGTCTAAAATACCGAACTTTCTACTGCGCCTACTATCGGTCCCTAGATTTTCTGAATTTTCATATAGAGATTAAAATACATTTCACGTACCTAAAAATACCTCAAAAAAATCGATGTTAAAACTTCTTTTCTGACAAATTTCAGGATTCCAACACGGCGGCACCGCCATGCTCTAGTGACGGCACCGCCATGCTTCGGCGACGGCATTGCTACTTGCAGCAACGGTTTGCCTTGGTCTGGCCGTTTTCAACAAATTTTGGTCGATTTCGACTGATTTTATACTCATTCTTGTGAGAAAACACGTTATGGGGTCTCGATTGACCCAAAAAAAATAAAAAACAAAACCTACCGGTAGTGAAATTTTTTGGTGCGGCGGCTCTGCCGGATCACCTTCGCGGGTAGGCATTTTTCTTTGATTAATCTGTAGAAAATATAACGGTGAACACAACAATAGAAAAATTGTAAGAAACGAAAAACAGGAAGAGTTTCATCGGAGGCAGTTGTGGGTTTTACCCGCAGCCGATTTTGTCCGCGATTTTTGGCTCACCCATTGTTCTTTTTGCTTCAATTTGACCATGAAGTTTCTCGGAATCAAATTCCGAGTGGATAGGAGAATTTTTTTCCTTTTTTGCGGTTGGAGGTGGCTTCGGTGCGACGACGATCGGCGGTCGACTTTCTTTTCCGGTGACTGGTTCTTTTTCTCCGGCGGGAGGCTGACGGCTAGGGTTTAGGTTCAGTGTGATGCGAAATATTTATACTCGTCTTGCGTTAATCTGAACCGTTTATCGCGTTTGATCTCGACCGTACGATCGTATTTAAAGAAGAAATGAATATGGATCGTTCATCGTGATTTGATCTTGATCGTCCGATCGCGTTTAAAGAGGAAACGAATCTGAACTGTTCATTGTGTTTGATCGCAACCGTTCGATCGCACCTGAGGAGGGAACGAATCCGAACCGTCCACGCATGCAAGAATGTTTATGGGTCGTCCGATCGCATGACATGCAGATCGCCACGTGATCTCCCGCATGGTACGGAGTCAGCGAGCCTTGTCACGCGGCATGCTCCGGTTCGTCGAGACTGCTGACTGGGTGGTCCTACGTAGCAAAAATTTCCTTAATTGCATTCTGATATCCAGTTTCTGATTTTTCTTTTAAAAACATCATCCGAACCCAAATTTTCACATCTTTTTCCTAAAATTATTTTTAATTTCATTCTCAACCTATTTTTTTCTATAATTTCACATTAAATTAAAAATTATTAATTTTAACAATAGATTTTTATATATTTTTTAATGTTAAAATTAATCCCGGACCAAATTTTGGGCCCGGATATTACAACATCATCTATATAACAAGCCATAAGAAAAGATCTTTGCATTGATCCAATCGTGCATACATGACTCATCTATCATCAGACATACGGGAGAATATAAATCCATTTTAATAAAGAAAAATGAGATAGGGCATTATACAGAGTCCTCCTCAATCATTCAGTATTAGTAGCAATCTAACCTAAAAGACAAAAAAATGAACTAAGAACAAAAAATTAGGTAGCATCTGTTGAGGGTAAAAACTAAGGCACACAAAAAAACTAAGAGTTGTTAAGGTTCAACATGAAAAAAGAAAAAAAAAAGGAACACAAATAGAAAAAAACTCACATGTGTAGGATGTGCATGTCATATATTAAGAGGATGAGAAAACAACATATCATTTTTTAAACCCCATAAAAAACAAGTAGGCCAATAGATAGCCAGGTGAACTAGTAACAAGGTGTAGATCATCTATACATAATGGAAATACTAGATGAGCGAAAAAATAAAAGTAGAAACAGTATTTATAGAGAAATCTTAAAAAAATTATATAAAATATTTAAAGGCCATCACTCATTAAAAAAATGATACTATGTACTCCAACTAACTGAATTAAACCCCTAAAAGTAACACATTCAGCACAAGTTACCAGTCCATCTCCCTCCTGACCCTAGTTAATGGATCGACAACCATATTTCTTTTTATTTCTATAGTAAAATATTACTTTCTTAATTCTAGAGATGCATGGAATAAGTTATATTGTTAAGGTGTCACGAGAATAATATTGTTTATTACCCACGATATAGCTATTAATGAATCATTTTCCATCACTAAATCTGTAACACCCCAACCCTTTTTTTTTTCTTTTTAATTTTATTTATTTATTTTTTTTGTAATTATTATATGAATATAATGATTAATTATGTAATAATATATTGACTTTAATTTAGTTTAATTTATTTTAATAGAAGTAATAATAATAATAAGGGGTAAAAATTATTTAGGTATTTAATTGAAAATAATTTTGGAGAAAATGGATAAAAATTTAGGTTCTGAAGGTATTTTTAAAAGAAAAATTAAAAATCGGAGGTCAAAACATAATTTAAAAAAATTGCGCCCCATCAACTGCCC